GAGGTTTGCTGGCACATGTGGAATGGTACTCCAGCATGAATTACTTCCTTCAGAAGAGAAGCTGCCCTCAGGCACAATTTTGCAGCAGGAAATACAAATGGTGCTTCCCGCTCAGAATTGTTCACTGGTGGAGAAAAATTATGTTTCTCCAGCTGTATAAATCTGGCATTAAAATGGATACAAAACAGCAACAACACTCCTACATTCAGTAACACAGCCAGAGGCATAAGCTGAGCTCATCCATACCTGAAATCTGAAAGAAAAATGAAGCGACTATTTGAAGACTAAATCTGAAAGAGGTGAGGAATAATGCGAATCATCGTAATCCTTGCCTCAAGGTGCAACTACTTTGATATAACAGCGGCAGGTTTAAAATCATTCAGATGAACACCTGCAAAGTGAAACTGGCCCCTGAGGTCTTTTTGTTCCTGTGTTTTCTCCTCTTATATTGAGCAACAATCGAAGCCGGCACATTTGGATTCAGCAGTTTAAATGGACTCCAGATATTCAGGAGTTGAAACAAATGGTCAACATGTGGTTTAATTTTCAGTTCACTAACTTACTTATATAATTTTCAACATCTTCAGGACAACAGTGTGGTCTGGGCCCTCAACAGATCAAACCAAAGCATAAAACAACTTGGGGCTGCTTGTGTGATCATAACAGTGGCCCAGTTTTATCCTGAGCGCTTAGTTCTTAATGGACCATCATCAGCAGGTATTTCAGTGCCTATGAGCTACCTGTTTTTCTTTTTTTTTAAAAAGGAATCATCTTGGACATTTTGAGGCTAAGAAACTAAGCTTTGGTATGCCGTAGATGGAAATATAAAACTTTTCTGCCACCTCTGCCCATATTTCTAATTTGCCTATTTTTTCACATATTCCATTTTCTGAACTGGCTCCAAGGTGACATGTTTAGCAACAAAATGTCGGAATTGAGCCAGCCACCGGTGGCGGTCTTGGTAGTCCGGTTCCTGAGCCAGGCAGCTCCGTAGTATTCCAGGGCACTGCTGATGACAGCACAGCCAGTCTGGCTCAATGGCAGGACTCTGAAGGGCAGCACTGGGGGCAGAGAATCCTCCCACTGAGCTTCTATTAACCCTGTAAGCCAAGACCCTAACGGGCAGGGTGGTCCTAGCTGGACAAGCAGTGGGAAAGCTTGCCAGACAACAATATCAATGGCAAGCTATGCAGTTTTAGCTGATTAGACTCCAGTAGTACCTAACACACACTCTGGTGTATGCATGCACAATGCTGTTGTCACCATGTATTAATTTTATGTGAGGGTGGGAGGGTGAGGAATCAGTCTGCTGACCATGTGGAATGAGTTGTCTTGTAAGTTGCTCTCACTTTGAAAAATTAAAAAATTGAAATGGCAAAAGAGATCAAATTAGAAAAATAATAAAATAATTACATTTAGGGAAATAAGAAGAGGAAGAAAGGATTATAGGGTGAGCAGAGAACTTACTTTTTATTTAAGATATTTCTAACTATTTAGTTAGTTAGTAGAGATATAGCTTATGTTTGCATCACTTTATTACTGTTGTTTCAGCTTGAACCTCATGGGCAGAAAGACCTAAGGCTGGTCAACAAATATGCAGTGGGGTGTTGTTATATCACGGCGGTTGGAATCTACAAATGAGGCCATGATAACCTATTTCATTGCATATGAAAACAGCTCTCTGGCTCACTTCTCATGTGCCAAAATGTACCTACACTAAAAAAAAGGCCAACTTCAGGGTCATCAAATCAACGCCATCACTTACTGTGCACTGCGCATGTACAAAGCAGGAAGTAACATTGTGCTGATCTATTGCCCCGGACGTCATCTACTATCGCACAAGAGCTGGTCAACAGTGAGAAGCAAGGATGCTGGCTGCGAGGGCACGTGAATAGAGTCCACGCCCAAATGACAACTAAATCAGTGCTTTTATGAAACATGTTATAATGGGGCACATTGTATTGCCATGCAGCTGCCAGCACTCTTCAGGATTAATACTGCACTGATTCACTTCCAAGTGCTTCAGAGAAACACTCCCATGGGTCCACAAGATGCTCTGCTCAAGAATTGCCTAGATAACGCTGATCTTTATGGATCAGAAGCATCATGGTTACTTTAGGAGCCTAGACATCAGTTCCATCATATAACATCATATTAACATTAAACAACAACAAAATTATTTGTATAAATAGGATACCATTTATTTATATAAATAGGATACCACAATATTCATGATTGATATTTTGAACCCGAATTGCAGTTTAAGATTTGCTTTCAGAGCTTGAAGACTTATTCTGGCATTAAGCTCTTCCAGAAACCAAGCCTGTTTCAAAGGCTGCTTTTACGTGCATGAATTCACATCATTTAATGCTATTTGATCTGCATTAGAGAAAGCAATTGCTGCCCACGATGGTACTTCAAGCTCTTTGCCAGTCAACATGTGCCTCACTAATGCCTCAGATCTTTCCACTAGAATTTAACCCGCAGCTTTTATTAAGCGTCATGAATTCCTAGCGTCCGTGTGCTATCAGACTTCAAACTGGACCAGCAATAGAAACACTTAAACACATGCATAATACCCAAAATATATCTTCAGCTCAGAAGCACAGGAGCAACCATATCCAATGAAAACTCACTCATAGCATGAGTATAGCGTCCCAAGGTGCTGGACAGTCAGGGATCCCGAGCTGGTGGTTGGGATCAGGAGGGGTGGAGGGCAGGGAAGGGTACGGGTAAGAGGGTGACCGAGGGCATGGTCAAGGAGGAGGATCTTCAGACAGGTTTTGAAGGAGGCAAGGGGGTGTGAGGCGTAGGGAGTGTGGGATGCAGTTCCAGAGGGTGGGGCAGAGAGGCCGAAGGTGCGCCTGCCAATGATAAAGAGCTATTTATGAAACTAGTGTTCAGAGGATGCAATGAAGTGGAGCACCCTGACATACTTTTGTGCTTCTACAGAGTGCTAGAACCTGGAATTGCACCAACGCTTAACACCGTTTAGATATCTCAATGTTGTTCCTGATTTAGGAGACAGTGACCAGACTCAAGATTAATCTCATCCTCCTCCTCCATCAGAGAGGGAAAGAGTAACTAACCTGATCTGCTCCTCAAAACCAGTGACAGAATCGCATGAAGTGTGGATCCTGTTGACTGTGAATACTGTGTTGTGAATACTATGAATACTGTGTTGCAAGCCCAAGAAGGAAGCTAAATTATAACAGATTGTTCTCGCTCCTTCACAAGGCTTACTGTAGGAACGAGTAACATGTAACATCAATTTCCATGAACAGAAAACCTGCAGCCACACATCTGGATCCATTAGTGTTCTGAAGTAATCCATTCTTCTTCAGTTGAGGTTTTGTTGCACACATGAAAACAGTTACACCAGAAAATAGTAACACAAAAGCCGACTTGCGCCAGAGGACATGAAAAAGCAACAAAGCAGATGATATCAAGCATGGATGGAATTGTTGGGAGGGGTTAAAAATAATTATACTTTCACTTCTGGGACTTTGGCTCTCATCCACCGAGCCCAGATGGACAGAATGAAAGCAATGTTTTCCTATGTGGAATTAGATAGTGGTATTTCAACTTAGCTCCCAGTGAACAATGACCAGCTCTTGGCACAAAAGGGTCGATTCTCTTCCACACAAGGGGCAATGCTGCTCAGAGCGACCTTAACTATGACTGGAACTTAAGGTTCTTAAAACATCACTTAAAATATCACACTGGCTGTGTGGCGTCTTAATGCGAGATTAACACTCAGATTTAGTGCACTATACTTGATTGTGGAATGATTAAGCCTGTTGTATTAAAAACACTATATGGACAATAAGAAGTCACAGAACGTGCCTCACTTGGGAACTCCACTTTGATATGATGTACTTTTAGGCACTAGGCACAGAGTCGTGCAGGTCAGTGTGGTGCACATTGACAAAAGCCATGACTTCAGAATACTTGATGCAAATATTGCATTTTAGACCCCATTGTACGAAAGGTAGAAGCAATTGTCCCATTCACCTGTGTGTACATGTCCAGCCATGGAAGTCATCATCACCTCCCTTCCCCCCACTCCCCCTCGGAAAAAAATAATTTTGAAAGGCATGATTGAAGCTCAAGCAGTTCAGATTCATTATTCTTAATTTTTGGGGGCAGACTCTGACTTGCTATCACTCCCAGGCACCAAAGTCAGAGTTCATGGGAGTTATTTTGTTTGCTAGCACAACCTGTCATAGTGGATACCAACCAATGGCCACTGGATGTTAACAGGGGATGGCAGCATTACTGAAAGATTAAGGATTAGGTCAGAATCACTGATACTTCCACAAATGACCATTGGTGGAGAGGAGGGATTGGGATACACCATAAATAGAAACTGCAACCTTTACTTTCAATCAGAACAAGACAAACATCTCCTCTGTACTTTAAGCCCCAAGTAACAATACTACACAAAAAAATGAACCATCACACAGCACAACTTATCTCTATTGACTGATAGTTTTGCATTATGTGAGCTTTGGCAATGGCTGAAGAAAGGTTCATTGCATCTGTCAAATTTAGAAGAATATGTCTGTGTGTCTAAAAGGTGCATCTTCTTGATGTGATGAGCAACTTTGTCAATGTTGAGTTCAATTATTTATAGAACATAATGAAGCAAGATTTCAGAATTGTTTTCCCAAACCAAATTGCAAAATGATCTAAATGTTGATTCCACACAAAACAAGTGCCAGGTAAAAGGTGATGGATTACGTCGGGAGTATAACTATAATAGTCTGCAATTTGAGGAACAATTAAATTTACAACTCTGGACAGTCCTGAGGGCAGATGTCTAATATTTACAGAGAAAGATTCCGTGGATCAAGTATGAAAGAAAACAGAAGTTGACAATCCCTCCAAAACATTTTCATCAGATTACGCTTTTGACACTCTTGCCAAAATGTTTTTAAACAAATGTCACTGGCCTAATCTGATGCTTTAGGCTCTTTAAATTAAGAGGAGAGACTCACCTGCATATTTTGCTTTGTTGGCTTCATCCATGGACCAGAAGCAATAGTCAAAAGCAAATACCTGTTAACAAAATCAGAAAGAAAACACACTGGGTTTGACAAGTCAGGTCTATGGAACCTCTCAAGTTCACAACATAAACTGATATAAACCGATAAGTGTTATGTGCAAGTCGATTGTGAAATACTGTGAGGTGCTCATCCCATGTGAAGGGTGCAAAAGTAAAAGTGCAATTTGTTTTAAGTGCAGTGCAAAGGGATGCACAATGCAGATTTTGTACAACAGGCTTCCAGGTTACCTTGCTCTCTTGAGCACCTCACACTACACTTCCAGCCAGGTATGGTCCATACAAAAGCTTGTTACTTGTGCTACAGTGAAACCCCTTTAAATTGGTCTCATTATGAATAGGTCAATAAATGGCAAGTGTACTGATCTGCAGGAGCATATAGAATGGTAAGACACATATCTAGGATTACAGGTCCCCACCAAAGTAACTCCTCCAAATTTAGCTGGGAAATATATATTATTCCAACTATATAAAACAAGTTGAAGGGTAACACCTCTACAACAGGTAGAGCGCTGGCAGAATCCTGGGAAAGGGTCTCCTTAGGAGACAAGAGATGAAGGATGGAGAAAAGACAAACTATAGGGGCAAAAAACCTGTAGGCATAGAAACAATTCAGGCAGGAAGTTGCAATTAACCAATCAGAAAAAAATACAGGCGAGCGATTTTTGAAATCCTTGTTCTAAAAGCCTTGTCTAACTAATAATGCATTACTTAATTTTGGTTAAAATTTAAAATGGTTCTTCATTTTAAATACACCATCAAAGCCAATTCATTTCTAAAGCATCTGGTAGCCAAACAATGAAATGTCTGTGAAATCCCCCCTCCCCTCCACCCTGCCTGAAAAAGACTTCCTTCCGATCATGGTTTGAGACCACTGTCACTATCAACATTTAATGTAAAGAAAGCACAGCAGGAGACTGTGGCTCGCACTGGGTCAGCTTGTGACAGGAGGGAGATGTGAACAAGGAAGTGCATTCAGAAACCACTAGAGATCTGGTCAAGGGGAATAAATGCATACTGACAACAGTAGCTTCAGGTCAAAATGTGGCAAATCATACGGTCTGGAATTCCTCCCTCTGCAGGGTTATAAAAATGTAAACGAGTTGCAAGATCAGGAGAAGGCAGCTGGGCTGCCAACTCATTCAGGAGCAGCCCAGCAAAATGTAAACTTGGTTTCTGTGGCTAGACTGAGCCCTGACCGTTAGCTAAAGATTCCCAGGAGGTGAAGGCTTAGCTTCCTGTGCAGGCTGAATACTTGCTAGTATACAAGTGGAAAGAAGCCCTGTGTGCCATTACCCAACAGTAATTGAACAGTCAGGTGATTTAATAGAATTGAACCAACATTCATACAATATTACAGCACAGAAACAGGACATTTCGGTCCATAAAGTCTTGAGAGTATATTTCTCTCCACATGAGCCACCTAATGTAAGTCCACTCTCCTGTTTGCTCCTCATAACCCTTAATTTTGTTTTCTTTTCAACAAATCTATTTAAAATAATTAATGGACTCTGCTTCAACTAGTTCGTAGCAGAGGATTTCACTCCAGCCAACCTCTGTGCATTCGATTTGGCACATGTCACAATAGGTAAAGCCATGTTCTAAAGGTGATGCACTGTTAAAACTTAATAATTTTTCCTCTGCTTCATCCCACCACACCCAAGTTCATCAACTCAAGGGACTGGTAGAAGACCTTGCTAGCCATGCTACTCTAGCTAGTTTGCTTGGATTTGTTTATGCTGCAGTAGATCCACCCTCCAATCCTTCACAATATGATGGCTGGGAAAGGTGCAGGATATGCAAATCGATAGCATGCATCCGCAGAGGGATGTGTTAGACCAAACAACAATAGAACAAGTCAGATCAACTTGAAGATCAGGCATCTAAAAATAATGCAAGGATTATTGTTATTATCTAGCCTGAGCCAAATTGAAGTGGTGTGTCACATAACCCAAATTAGGCCACTTTGAAGTTTGATTCTAATCTCTGACAACACAAACAGGTCTTGCAATAGTCAAAGAATGAGGTTTGTACAGTGCCACTTCAAAAGGGGGAAGACTGGACAATAATACGTTTGGACTCCATAAGGGTACTTCAGATTTAATCTGACTTCTCAAAGGGCAACACTTTACCTTCAGATGGAATACTGATTCAAGGAGGACTTTTACAGTCAGTCTTTCCATTGATCGTTAAGCATTTTGTTAAATGAATACAGTAGACATCTGCATAGCCAAAACTCTGGGTTATGTATGCAAATAGCTCCAAGTAATAATCCGCCAGTATTAGAACATATACTGTATTCCTTTTGTTGCAATATCAAATGTTGACGTTCACTAGTCCCGAATGTTGAATCAAGAAAGAAATTTGGGGTTATTTTCAATTGATGAATTCAATCCCAGCCATAAGTAAAACAAATTAAAGCACCAAATTCTACCAAAATTTAATTGACAATATTCCCATAACCAAAATACCTGCATCTGAACCATTTTAGAAAGGTGGCCTCCACTGTGCAATTAAATATTAATAATTAAGAATTAAGCACCTCTATTTCTCCATAGACAACTGGTGTAATTGCCTCCAGCAATACACATGAGATTTTATATATATAACACATATATACAAAACATATATATAACACACACATATATATAACATATATATATATATATAACACATATATGACACATACATATATAATATATATATATATAACGTATATATATAACGTATATGTATAACATATGTATATATATATAAAACATATATATATAAAGACAAAATTGGTTTAAACAGGTCTGAAAGTTTTTTCAAGCTGGACTGAACACAGTCCACACAATGAACATTTGTAATACGTACCTTAGGGACTTTCCTTAGACCGAGATGTCAGATCGACCACCAGAAAATAGGCACAGGAGGAAAATGGCAGCACATCACCATCAAGTCACCAGCAATGTTTTGAGAGGGAGAGAGAGAAAAAGAAAGAATATCATTTTTAATTTGCTGATAATGCTTCTGGTTTGCAGGACAATTTACAACGACGACAATAAATTATATTTGTATAGCGCCTTTTATGTCGGGAGGACGTCCCAAAGCATTGGAGGGGTTTGGATAGACAAAGTCCTTTGGCCCATAGGTCAAAATGCGGGAGGGAAAAGTATTTAATGGAATGCCTCAGTGATCTGCACAGGACCTCTGTCCCTCCTATATGTTAATGCCCTGGATTTGTAAACCCAGTGTAAGATAGTTACATTTGGAGATGGCCCCAAGTTGGGAGGAAATATGGAATCAGAGGAGGTGGAAGAACTGGCTGGGTTGCATGGTAGGGAGACACAATGGAGAGATTTGAATGTGAGGATGAGGATCTTGAAATAAAAACATTATTGTATTGCAGTCTTCATGCAGCATTACAGAAATGTTACAGCACGGAAAAAGGCAATTCAACCCAGCTGCTGTTTAAACTCCCAAGAGCCTTCACCCCTCCTCATCCTCTCTCCTTTACCGCTCGGCTGGCTTCTCCAGTATAATATCCAAAACCTCAAATCCAGCAGAGGAATGGTCAGAAGAGGATTTCAGGGTCCTTTAATTATAACTGTTAGGAATTAGTTTTGACAGGTGATCAAATAAAATCATTTAGATTTAGTGTAAGAAATGCAAGAAGGAGTTTAAGCCTTAGTTAAGTCCAAGCACTCTATGATGATGAACCGACAAAACAGAAGTAGCGGAATTCAGAGACAATTATAATCTTATCAACCAATTCTGTGGTTATTTACTTAGTGAAATACAAGCACAATGTGTCAGCATACATAAATAGCTTAGGAAAGTTTACTTCATATTTCCATCCTTTGGATGAGATGTTGAACCAAGATCCCATCTGTCTGTCCAGGTGGACTTTAAAGATCCCATGGTACTATTTGAAAACAGAAGGGAGTTTCTCCTGGTGTCCTGGCCAACAACCCCCCAAATAAAATTGGTCACTCACGCCATGGCTGTTTGTAGGATGCTGCTGTCCACAAACTGGCTGCCGCATTTGCCCACCGTAAATTATAAACAGTTTACAGTATATCCTGTAAAGTGCTTTGACACATCTCGACAACGTGACAAGGTGCTATATGTGGACCAAGGTGCTATTTGTGGAGTCCTGTAGCTCAGTAGTTAGAGCACTCGCTTTGCAAGTGAGAAACCTGAGTTCAATTCCAGGCAGGACGAAACCTTGGGCAAGTTTCCTTACTCCACACGCCTAATAATAATCCCTCCAAAACCAAAAACAATAATAAATTGGTCATTTTCAATCTACGATTGTTTGTGGGACATTGCTGTGCGCAATTGGCTGCCGCGTTCGCCCAGAAATATACAGTCAATTCACTTTACAGTGTGTTCTGTGAAGCGCTTTGGGATGTCCTCCCGACGTGAAAAGCGCTATATCAAATGCAAGGATTATTATTATTATTATTATATCAAATGCAACGATTATTATTATGATAGTAACTAAGTGTGAAGCTCTTTGAGAATATGGGGTGTCAATATGTCAAGGGCCTATATCAAAGGTAAGCATTATAATATCTTACAAACTAACCAAAATTCATTGGGTCATTTTAATGCCTAGAAATACAGCCTCGCACTTCACAGTAAAATCCTATGAAGCACTTTGAGATGTTTCAGTGACGTGGTAAAGCGCTATATCAAATGCAAGGATTATTACTATTTCTTATTACTTGTAAGCAGTCCATTTAATCATGCAAGGGAAAAAAATATTAAAAGAAAAATGCACCCCAGACTTATACAACCATTAACTATTTGGATTCAACCACATGATTGGGACAGGCACGTAACTAGCTGGTAAGGAATGGACTAGACATACACTGGGATATTTAACTATAGAGGAGCTCATTACTGGGCTGCCTTGCACATCTCGTTCTAATTTGGAGCGCTAACAGATCTCGGAGTGGGACATGAACTCTGCCAACGCTGGCGTCCATTTGCAACGCTACAAATTTCCAACTCAGTAAAACCTTCACCTAGCCTCACAGTTGGTGGAGACAAACCTCTGACATTGACCTGGACCACAAACTTCAATCCATTTTAAAGTTCAGATCATGGTACACACTCCTGAGCTCCACTCCCCTTCCCCCCCTCCTAGTATCTTTGCTTAAAACAGGCCGATCCCATCCAACGCCCCCACACACACCCATCATCAGACAAGCTTGATAAACCTGGTCAAATAAAAATCAGGGATGGGCTCCCAAAAGCTGTTAGGAGCACAAAGGCAAATTCCAGAGATGGATATCTGTTCAAACAGCAAATAAACATTGTTTATACTACAACAGAAGTGTGTCTACCAAGTGAAAGTCAGCAGAAAATTCTTGAGAAACAGTGAAGACACTTTACATGAATGCATATCCTGGGAAAGGCCATTTCAATGTAACACCTGGATATTCCACTGGTTTATTATTTAATAACATGAAGTCGATGTCAGCTCAATTGGAAGCACTCTCACCTCTGAGTTGGATGGTTTTGGGTTTGAAGGACTATTCGAAAAATGAATTTCCCTTGTTGTCCTGGCCCACAATCCCCAGATAAAATTTGTTATTAATTTTATGTCTGTTTGCAGGATATTGGTGCATGCAAATTGGTTGCCTCATTTGTCTACAAAATACAGAGTCACCGCACTTTACAATAAATCCTGTAAGCACATTGAGTCGTCCTCCCGACATGAAAGGCACTATCAAATACCAATATTATTTATTACTACCTATAAAATTTTCCTAATCTAAATATATGCTGATCCAAATACAATTCAAGATCATCAGTTGTTCCAGCATTAACCACTATTAACTTGCAATATGTTGTAATGCCACCTTTTATAATGTAAGTTGCTTTTGCCAGCTCAGTTTGCCCAATTATTTGATAAAATGCTTCATTTTACAATTGTGGTTTGCAACAAGAAGATAAAAGTAAGCAAAAACAGTCACCCAAAAAATCACCGTGTTTCATCATGGCCAGGCTTCCCAGCCTCATGACCAATTGAGCCTGCCAGTTTCCTTGAAGACCTTTCCAAGCAATGCAATTCACCACAGCCCATTTACATTGATTGAAATATTTGGCTTAACTGAATGACTTATGTGAGCTGTACATAAAAACAAAGTTCCAACCCAACCCAAGTGTCAGCCTAGACCAGGGTGGTCCAACTGTGGCCCGCAGGCCAAATTCCCCCCCCGCCCCTCCCATTTCATTTGGCCCACCCGCTCCCTCCATAACCCATAACCCATATGTTTCTGGAAGGGAAACACAAAAATATTGCTTATGCAGCTTGAGGACGTGTCTCAAATAGGGGATCCGACCTCAGCAGCCAAAAGAATGGACTACCTTGATCTAGATCTATGAGCTGAAAATCCTAACATGGATTGACTGAAAAGCCACAATGCTACCACCTGGGCCAGGCTAACACCCAGGTGCCAATGGGGGCCTTTGGATAAGAAACAGGATTTTCCCCCCTCACCTACCCAGGAGCACTGAGGCAAAATGTAGTGCCTTGACTCAAATCAGCCAACTGAGCACAAACTATGATTCGAACCTATGACCTTTCAAAATACCTCTGGGGTGGGAGGAAAGAGAAAATCACAATTACTTGGTCAATATTTGAATTCACCCTTCAGAAGTGTGATCCTGGAAAACAAAGGCCAGTGGGTACAGGATGACAGCCAAAAAATGCTTCACAATTTACAGGTTTGAACAGAGAATGTGTCAAGTCCAGAGAAGATAAATTTTAACAGGCAATGTCTATCTTTTGATTTTTGTTCCTTCTGAAGTGCACACTCAGCGGGGATTCGTTACAACCATAGTACGTTAAAAAAAACGAGATCACTCCACCACAAGGAAATCAGCCTGCCAGCACATCTGTCCCCCCAAACCTGCCAGTTCTGAAAATCCAACGTTTTTCTACCTGTTCACAGAAACCCTTTGTGCTTAATAGAGCTCCTGCGACAAAACACTAAACTTCACAGTAACAACTGCAAAGCACTTTAAGGTGTTTTAACATGATAAAAGTCCCATAAAAATTAAACTTCTTCCTTTCTGGGAACACTGACCTGTGGACTAGAATGTCAAGATTATTTCTCCTAACTTGTCCCAATAGAGATACGATTAATAGATGCTGTTTCTCAAACCATAGAAGTCAATCGCAATCCCCATCTAATGCACTGCCGAAATATAATAACCCATTATTTATTAAGTCCAGCCTAGCTTCTGCCCGGTGAAAGAGGTTGATCTTGGGAGTTTAATTGCCTGATAACTTAGAAAACAAGATTAAATACCTCTTTGGGGCCTAAGAATCTACCTGCTAGTGGACATTATTGAAAGGAAGTGCTGAGTCACTCAAACATCAATGATGGGCAAACACTGATGAAATCGGGAGGTTTGAAGTCCAAAACTGCGATTGCAACACATTGAGAGGATTGGATTAAAAGAGAGAACAAATCGATCAAATGACATCCGATTGTCAGTTGCCTTTTCAGGATTCATTGGTCATTCACCTCATGGCTGTTTGTAGACAGATGGTGCAAATGGTCTTGTGTGTTTGTCTCCTAAAACAGTCACTTCTCTTATAGATAATTACTTGTGCAGCACTTTAAGACAATAAGATGCTAACTTCTCCCATGGGGAAAAAAGTAACAAAAAGGCTAACTGAACAACAAATTTGAGTAGATCAACATCTCATCCAAAGGTGCTTCACAGTGTTCTCTGTGAGATGCAATGATTATACACTGTTTGTAGGTGAATCTAGCAGCCAATTTGATTTAGGGCTTAACTCTACAATCTTCAGACCCAAAGGCGAGAGTGCTAGCTTCAAAGCCTGTACTTTTGGGAAAGAAA